AGTTAGATGGTGTGAGTTTTGTTATAATAGATTACACCCGAATGCTCAAGTTGTGGAATGATTCTACTAAAGATCAATAACGCTTATAGGTAGAAAGCATGGACTCTTAATCTCCTATCACTGTGGATGGCTAGTCTCAAAATGATAGGCTGATAGTTCAGTCTCACTGTCTACCACCCGAATGACAGTGTCAGTGTCTGGTCCTGCTGTAGTGAGAAGAGGTTCATGCTGTTGTTGACAGTAGTGATTCATCCTTGCTACCATTTCCACTCTATCTGTGGGTTCATCATCACTCTACAGTACGCTGGAAACAGAAGCTGGTAGCAGTCACAGGTTGAGTAATCCTGTGCCTCTGGTGTGTGAGAGCCTTGCCTGTGTGGGATAACCTCTGAATTGCATTGTATGCGAATCACAGGGATCACATGCCCATTTCCATGGACGCATTCACATAACTTGCCCATTTCCCAGGCGTCAGTCTTGCAGCCAGGCCATTCTTAATTTCCCAGGCATGACAGGCTATCTCTATCTCAGCTTTCTGTTCCCTGCATATGATGTGAATAATCAGAATGTTCTGCTAATAGGATTATTCTTCAAAGTATTTCCCTTCATATCTGTTTTCACAGCCAACTGGCATAGGGACAGTAACACAGTAGATATTAGTGCTAGGTTCTTACAATTAGCGAATTTGCCATAAGGCTCACATCATTTCCTCTTCTACCAGTTCACTGTTAGGATCTTGTCATGGAGCTGTTTGTGGGGCACTGTTACAGAAGAGACTGAATTTGAGAGTATGGGGAGATTACCTGTATCTATAATTATCTACAGGACAACAGTTTACACACTTCTTTGATGTCTAATCGAGCCAGTTTCTGAGTGGACCATTACCACTGTTGCTACTTCTGCCTTTAGGAATGGGATGACATACACCTACGGCAGCTAGCCATGGCTCCCTAGTCAACACACATGTTTTTATGAGGGGATCCTTCTTCATACAGATACCCACCTTTTTTGGAGACAAAGAAATAGTGTGATAGATCACCTTGATGGTTCATGTATCTAGAAGGGGTGATCCTCAGCCCACACACTGTCATGATTCATTATGGATAGTCTGAACAAAACGGAATGTACTGGAACTGAAGTGCCAAGAGAAGTACCATCTTTTCCCCAGTCTGGATATTCTTCTCCTTTCTTCATATTATTTTTGTCATTTACACTAGTATTCATTTGAAGCTGACAATCTGTGAAGCTGCCTCATAAATGAGGAAGAAGAGTGAAATAAAATCTCAAGAGCTTTGCCTCTTTTTAGTGTCTGTAGGACTCAGTAGTCTCTTGGTGGTCCCTGGGAGAAAGTGGTGAGGGGATTTAGGAAAAAAAGGCAAGAGACAGAAGCGGGGGTCAGGTGGAGTCCTCTTTACTGTGTTTGCAAGGGGACCAAACAACATTAGGGGCATTTATTTATACTCTTGTAAAGTTATTATCACAAGACACAAGGTTGCCTAGGGACTAATGACTGAAATTGTCCAGGTAGGGTGCTTTTCTCAAGACTGAGACAGCCTGACTGCTTGAGGCACTCTGGCTCTGTCCCGCCCTCACACATATGACCAATATCCAGCTTTAGTCACTCCCAACAAATGTAAAGAGATGCAAGGTACACCCATCAGTTTCACAACTTAGAGGGGCTAGAAAAGCATGTCCTTGGCCATTGGCTTCTGAAACATTCACAGACCCTTGGTTTTCTCTGGGTTTATTTTTCTCTTGCCTTCAGTGAGGCCTGTGTCTTTCTATGATGTCTGTGAATTCATCACTTTCTCTCGAGTGAACTTAGCATTTTCCATTAATAGGTTGGCACTATATTCTGGTGAACAACAAAAGTTCAAGATTATAGTCACATAAAGCAGGAAAATTCATAGAAACTTTTGTTATGCTGTTTTCTTGCTGGGTGCTAGAGTTTGTCCTCACCAAAACTCATGTTGAAATTGGTTGCTAACACACAGGTGCTGGGACAGAGGCTTTTAAGAAGTAAATCAGTTTTAAAAGGTAATCAGGGGGACTGGGGATTTAGCTCAGTGGCATAAGCACCTGCCTGGCAAGCACAAGGTTGTGAGTTTGATCCCTGGTCCTGCAAAAAATAAATAAATAAATAAATAAATAAATAAATAAAAAACAAAATAAAAGGCAATCAGATCCTTTATAACAATTAGGTTATTTGAATATTTTTCATGCAGGACTAGATTTGTTCTCCTGAGGATGGATTACGTCTCAAAAAAGTGATTGCCCATTGAGGAAGCCTCTCCCTGAGCTCTGCTCACGGCCGCTTTTCCTTGCACTTTTTCCCACAACGTGCTGATGCTTCATCAGCCCCTCTGCACTCTCTGATGGTCGCTCTGGCCACCAGAGGTGAGGCAGACACCAGTGCCATTATCTTGCACTTTCTGTTTTTAAAGCCTTGATCAAAAATGAACCTTCTCCATACACTACCCAATCTCCAGTATTCTGTTATTTCAACAGCAAAGGCTCTCGTAACTGGAAATTGGTTTTGATCATCTATAATAAGAAGAACTGAGAGAAAAATCTTCCATATATAAATAGCTGCAAGCCAAGTGCCAGCAGAGTAGATATGGTGCTAATAATGCTTGCTTAGTAAAATAACTATAATTGGGTGTACTAATTGAATGAATTTACACTTTATTCTGTTTTATCTCTGTGGGATTTTTTTCAATTTTTTTTTGATTTGTTCTTGAAAAGTTCAGATGAGAAAAATTTAATGAAGATATTGAAGTGACTACCACTCTGGGTGTCCAAGATTTTGTTAATGTTAGTATTATTTCCACCCAGGTTTCCCACCTTAGTTTTGCTATGAAGAATGAAGAAGTCACAGATGTTGTTACTATCAGAGCTGAAGACTTTGATCTTTCAGTAATTTAACTTTGACTGAATCTAATCCCAGATAAATAAATGTGAAATCTTTAGTAAGTTGTATGTCAGAATTTTCTCCCCCACAATTAACACACACATCTCAACAAAATTTAGCAGCATGCCCAGTAGAAAATGCCTTTCTCTTGACTACAGAATGAGAGGACCCCACTGTTAGAAGGTACATGGTGATTTGATTTGTCTTATCAGGGATTATTTTTTAACAAAAAGAAGATGTAGGAGTGAATAGGGTGGGCATGTGTAAAGATGTTAGTATTTCTCTAAGTTTAAAAGCAGATCTGCAGCCTTAGTTCTTCACACCATGCTCCGCAGAACTGCTAACACTGGCAGACCGAAAACCAGGGCTCCAAGGTGTCCAGAACGTTTGAAAATAAGCAGCTTCAGTGCAATTACCTTAAACACCTGATAGTTTTGTCATTTTTTTACAATTAAAAAAAATATGAACTTCTGTTAAAATTTTTCAAACCACTGACCTAATTTAAATGTCTAATGTTTACTTTGGTCAGCAGTAATTTTATTCTGATCTTACAATGACCAGATTTGTACCAAATGGGTAGAACATACACTATATTTCATGGGTTAAATGTTCAATGACAATACATGTATACAAAGTTTACACTTTCTGCTACTTTTTATCTATATCCTTTGGAAGTGAGCATGACCAGTTAAAATAATAATCCTGAATATCTGGGGTGCTGCTGTCCCTTTGTCTATTTCAGGCACCATCATATGAGTGGTAGGAAATTTAAAGTTAGGGTATGTCTGTGTTTTTTTTTTTTTTACCTCAGAGCTTTTCTTCCCTTTAATTTGAAAATGCTTCAAAGTATATAAAATCATTTTTCTAACTTGTAATAATTAAGTAATGTTGTTTGAGAGAATTTTTTTAAATCTATATGTATCATATATAACATATCTATTTTAAAATCCATTTTAAATATTATATATGGTTTATTATAATCTGCCTTGAAGTTATAACATGGAAATTTATATTGGGGAGCCCAAATTTAAATTTTTTTTTTTTTTTGGTTTTTCTCCGGTACCGGGAACCGAACTCACGACCTTGCGCTTGCCAGGCAGGTGCTTTGCCGCTGAGCTAAATCCCCAGCCCCTCCAAATTTAAATTTGAGGAGAAATCCATGGGAATAATGATGCTGTTTACAAGCTCTTCTGTATATGGCACACATTTCCACAACTGAGAGAAATATTCTCCTGTCAAAGACGTGTACAGTGGTTTGTGTGAAACTAAGCAAAATGTGAATAATGTGGAATGCAAATCTATAAGACTGACAGATCGACTTAGAATGACATGTCACTGAATTAACAGTGGGCTAAGAAAGAAAGTATCTAATTTAGACAGTGAAGCAAATAACCAACTCTAAAACCAGGCTAAAAATAAGTAGAATTGAAAAGCTTGCAGGAACAAAATTGCAATGGACAGAAGAACAAATGGAACCTGACAACATGACTTTCCTTGGCCTATAAGCATGTGACTGGAGTTATCAAAAGATATCTACAAAATGGTAGTAAAAAAAAAGAGGTGCTTAAACTTGGAACTGCTGCAAAGCAGATAATTTCAAAGTGAAATCAGTTAGCACAGCCTGAGTTACAGCTGTCTCTCACAAACTTGGTCCTATAGAAATTCTGAGAAGAAAACTTAAGATGAAATTTAAGTGTTAATTTAAAGCTTAAGTTTCAACTTTATGACAAGGAAGTTACCTCCAAGTCTATTGATAAATTATTTAACTTCTTTGATTTTTAAAGCACTTTGTATAAAACAGAGACGTTGGGAAAATTGTTGAAGGCTTTTCTGTTCTCAGGTATCATATTTGAAAAATTATTCAATATTTTAAGGAAGCTAAGAGTCAGGCTACTATGTCTGATTCTAGCCCAATCATAGGTTAACCTTTATTCCTTCTTATTTCAGCGTACTTATTCACCAAAAGGAGTTGATATATGTGTCTACCTGTCAGGTTAATTATCAGAAACAAATGGAATAATACATGAAAAGTGTTTACTGCAGTGTCCATTGGAAAATATTTAATATATATAGACACAGACTGACTTACCTCAAAGGAAATATAAGTTAAAATTCTTGGTCTTTACTTGCTCAGTTCCTCATGGTACCATATAATTGATTTTGAATGAAAATGTTTTATTGCTTGACAGAACACCTCAAACACTGAAAAGGAGAAAAGGAAAGCAGAAATAAGGAGTCTCGGAGTGTAGTGCATCTCTAGAAATGTGTCACAAGATCAATTGACGCAAATTGGCACGTAAGTTATTATTAGCATTGCTAAATATTACTCAAACACTCAGAAATTAATGTGGCAATCCATTATTTTTCCCTCAGAGCTCTCTTGTATCCTGTAGCTAAAACATGTGCATGGCTATATATATATTTATGTATTATTATGTATATAGATGGCTACATCTATATGTATCTATGTACAGCTAGAGCTAATGAGTCATGTAGCTTTTGGGTTGTAATCCACAGTGAATTGTAGACAGTCATTAACTATTATGGTCCATTTCATAAAACCTCTTTTAAAGGATAAGGGTATTTCAGTAAGGGTGTTTTGAAATTAGCAAAATATCTCTTCCAAACAAACTCATAAAGATGTAGTCTATATGCTAAAAATACTCTCTATTCATATATTTTTGTAAAATGTATATTTATCTGTTAAAATTAAAAAGGATCCATTTTTCTATAAGCTATATTGTTTCATTTCACTCTGAAGGAACTGAAATGCATTTCCTTGATGTCATCTGGTGGTTTGAAGACAAAATTATGGTGTTTCAAATAATACCACCTAAACACAGGGTATGTGTCAGAGTAGCATCTTCTCCAGCTGCAATTGTTGGTTGAAGCTTTGCTGTTCCCATTTGGTAAAATGGTTAGTTAAAGCACAACAAAATCATCTGGATCCCAGGATAATGTGCTGATAATCTTTCCGCCTCTTTAGCACAAGGTATTGAGCTCAATTCCCAATACCAAAAAAAAAAAAAAAAATCTTTCCTCCTCTTGATGATAATGCAGTAAGAGTTGCTAGGAGGAAATCTCTACATGACACAGATGATACATTTTGAAAATGCTTGTGAAAAAAATGCACCTCTCATATTCTATTCAAAAGTTATTTGACTCAGTTATCTGTTCAAGAGCATTTCCTGATATAAGGATCAGAATTTTCCCTTCTGTGGGAGAAAATTTGCTTTCCCCACAAGACGCAGATTGCTTGCTTTTCATCTGATGACCATGTAGTACATTATTAGCCAATTTCATTTCATATGTACCTATGCTTTTTTCAGCAAATCACAGTCTATCCCTGTGAATGGAGTTAAGTGTACACACCTTCTTCCGCAAACCCTACAGGAAAGGCATAGCAATAGAAAGACAGGTTGTCAATCACAGTTAGTAAAAGCAGTTCTTGTGTGTGTTTGTGAGTTTTTACTTCAGCACACGGAATACAAACACATTTTGTAGAAAGTTAAAAGATGCTACTATCTAGAATGAGCTGTGCTGCCTTCTACTTTCACTTAAGCACATCTTGAATGCATCAGGGTAACAGACACATAAATATGGAGAAGAATTTGGTCCAATGATTTCAAAGCCTCTGCTCTCTCTGGAACAAGCAGAATTAAATTATTTTCTTCCCATCAACATACACACATCATTTGAAAAGATGTTTGCAATCCTCACTGATGTCCAGTTTATGTACTGCCGCTTCCTGATAGGCTCTGACAGTCCCTGACCTCGTCAAGCTTTGAGGTTAAGTGCAGTGGATGGCTTTATTTGCTGCTATCACGGGTGATTGCTCTAGGAAGAAATAAAACAAGGAAATGCAGCCACAGCTCTGAGTGCTGCCTACAATTCATAGTGCATATTCACCCGCTGATATAAACACCGCTTTCTTTCATATTAACCAATATCTTATAGGGTGCAGTAGGAAAGTAGAGCTTTTTTTTTTCTTTTTCATCTGTATAAGAGACCAGTATTGGTATAAGCAGTGTCTGAGGCAGCCAAACCTTTCCATAAATATGATGCCACCAGAGGAACTGGAAAACTTGAACTTTAGAAAACTATGTGGTCCTGTCTTCTTGCTTTAACACTTGACAATCAGAATAACTCTTTAAGACTATGTCACTGGTAAGATTAAAGTGATAACATTTAAAAAGTCCTATTTCCTAGCATAATAGTTACTAGACCTCCTATACTACTTCTAAATATCATCTGGTTCTTGGGAAATTTATTATGTTCCGTGGTAATAAAGTAGTTCCTGGACCCATAATTACTGTATAAAAATATCAATTAAAATATGCCAGCAAGGAAATAGTTTAGACTTTGATCTTTTGTGGGTTTTCTGTGTAGGAAAAGAAAGTCATTATTCAATTTTATTCCTTATAACAGCATTTAAAACACAGCTGTGAACTACAAAGTGCTTACCTTAGGAAACTTTTTTTGGTGCTTTTCTCTCTTGGTGCATCTGAAATCCAAATTAGATTCACTTCATTGATTAAAAATATTGCTTCCAGCGACTTTCCCAAAAATGTGTTCAGAAATTTAAATTAGGTTAAGTATTTTGTAGCAGACTGCCATAATAATTTTCCAAAGCAATAAAATCAGTTATCAGAATTAATGATACTTAAAATTCATTTTATAATTTTACTTACATTACCTTGCTTCTCTCCTTTATCTATTTTTAAATGAACTCCTATAACTCTATAGTGTGTATTGTCACTGTCCAATGACCCTGGCTGGGGCAGAGAGGACAATGAAAGCCAACATAATTCTTCTGAAACTTGTTTTGCTTGTGTTTAGAACTTGTGTGGATCATAAATAAGAAATTTGATGGATCCTGTAACCTGCTATTTCTGCAGAAATGAAATCCCTCCAAAGTGTTGGGTACCCCCGCAGAGGCCCTCCTTGGGGCTACCAGTGATGGAGAGGTTGGTATTACCTGCTGAGCAGATAGAATTGCAGCTACCTGAAAATTCTAGGGTTGGGCCCTGCAGCTTAATGTCTCTGCCCCTCCAGCTCCTGAGCCACAGCTCTTCCCTCAATCCTTGTTACACTGTGATGACAAAAGCAATCTGTCTTGCTTAACTATTTAGCCAATTATTCAATCTATGATTTAGGCAGCGAGTTCTCCATTAATGAAGCAGGTATAAAGTACCTGCCATGTATAGGTTATGCCATGTATGAGAGTTACTGATACAGAAGAACTTGTGTCTGTTTTTAAGAAGCCTGCTTTTTGAGGAGGCAAACAAAGAATCCTGCAGGTGTGAATCAAGTTCTATCATGGAACAATTGACAGAAGTAGTGACTCCATTTTAAAATGTTTAAAAAGGTGGTGGGTGGGCTTGGTGGCCCATGCCTGTAATCCCAGCTCTTGGGGAGACTGACGCAGGAGGGCTGCAAGTTCGAGCCCAGCCTAAACAAGTTAGTAAGATCCTTTATGAAAGTGGTAAAAACATGTGTTGGAATATAGCTTAGTGTGAAGGCCCAGGGTTTCATTCCAGTGCAACAAAATAAAATAAAACCTTCCAGATAGGTGCTCTTCAAGGTTTTATGAAAGGGTAGGTTTTAGATGCCTTGCTGTTTGTATTTCATTGCTGTGACTGTAAATGGAAAAATTACGGTTAATGATTGTTCAAAATACCTTTTTTTTTGTTTGTTTTGTTTGTTTTTCTCCGGTACCGGGAACCGAACTTACGACCTTGCGCTTGCCAGGCAAACGCTTTTGCCGCTGAGCTAAATCCCCGGCCCCTTTAACTTTGAGGTTGTTTTTTGTTTTGTTTTGTTTTGTTTTTCTCCGTTCAAAATACCTTACAACATTCAACTTGCTTAGTAGATGCTCTCTTGGTCAAATGGCTTACAGCACAGGAATACATACATGTACAGTTATGTGTGCATATTTGAGCTGAGAGTTCAGTCTATCGCGATCATCTCAGAGGACCCCAGGCTCTGTGGGTGTCCCAAAGGAGAACAAGCTGACTCACAGTCCAGCAGCGCATGTGTCCTCCACTTCACGTCTTCCCTCTCCTACTCTGTGTTGACCTTTCCCGTGTGTCTTCTGTTTTTTAGCCTGTCATTTCTGATAGCACTTTAGTTCTCATTTTGGCTTTAGCTCACTCTGTTTCCAAGTCCACAAACCTTTACTGAGATGTACTTGTTAAAAATGTCCCTACTGCAGGCATGTGCATTTGGAGCTCTTATAAAATGTATATGCTGGATGAGGCTTATGTTCCCTTTCATACAAATTCCCAGGCAATGTTTGTTGTTGTGCTGCCATGGTGCACGTGATAATGTCAAGTTTACATTCATCTTCCTAAATATGTATAAAGACATCACTTTCATTCACCTATTGTTACTTTTATTAAAAGTTCACTGTGAGTATTATTATGCATGCTTTGAGCACTCTTGGGAATGTTTAAAATACATATCTGGCATGATGTGAAAATAGTGAGCATTTGATAGAAAATCATAGATGAAAACAGGTTAAATATAATGAGTGCCATACAAATAGCTGAATATTTGGAAATTGGAAGACACTGATCTTATTCTACATTTCTTATTAATAATAGGGTCTGCACCAAAATAAGAATTTAGCATTGGTTTTAATCCTTCTCTATGTATCTTTTTAGACTTTTTTCCCACAAAGCTACTCTTTAGACATGGAATAGTGATAGACAAAATGTAAGCACTCCTTAATTTTCTTATCCATTAATAAAAATAAAATAAATATATAACTATCCTGTTATAGTTTTTCTTCTAGTAAGTCACTGAGTCTTTAACTGTATTCCAATATAACAAATATGTGACAGACAGCATTTGATGGCAGAAACCTGGATTGCGGAAAGACCCAGACTATGACGCAAGGTGTAGTATGTCTGTAGGGATGATGAGGTTGATGTTTCTATGTATACCTGGATGTTCAGTCAATCTTGGTTGTCATGGAAACACAAGTGGAATATGTGCTACAGACATGAACTGTTAAGGTATTAAAACAGAAGAGTTCTTTTTTTTTTTGGTTTTTCTCCGGTACCGGGAACCGAACTCACGACCTTCCGCTTGCCAGGCAGGTGCTTTTGCCGCTGAGCTAAATCCCCAGCCCCTAAAGCGGAAGAGTTCTAAAGACACATTTAAAAAGTATTTCATTTGCCTAGGTGCATAAATAAGCATGGTGTGCTCTTCACATAAGTAATCAGAAAACTACATGATGCAGTCACTCTGTCAAGAAATAATTGCCTGACTATAATAATGAGTTAGTTTGATTAGACTTTGCGGCAGATGATTTTCTGACAAAATAATATAATTTCTACTTAACCATATAGGGCAGAGGCATTGTCCAATTCATCCACATACCCTTAGCTCTTAACACCACTACTAAAGCCTAACAGTCACGCTCTAAGAATGAATGAATAAACCCTATCTATAAACACTGCCGGTTAGAAATTTGTGGTATGTAGATGTTTGTACATATATGTAAAGAATGGGTACTACTTGCAGTGTAGATACTGAGAAAGAACGTTTCTTCCTCTTCCAGTTCTGGCTGATCAAGCAAAGATTTTCCAAACAACACACATCAGTTATTCTTTTACTCATTAAGTGTCATAATTGGAAACACATTAAAATCGCACCTTGGAATAAGTACAAATTCACCATATTTTACTAATTTTCTCCTGAAATATTGTGCAATTAAATGTGACATTCATGTTTTTGCTAGACATCAGAAATACTGCTAAAGTAATGCGATAACTCACCAAATTGTTTTTATCATTTTGCTGTACTCAAACACAATAAAAATAAAGCACATAGCACTTTTAATGAACTGGCAATAATCTAAAGAAATAATTATGTTTGGCAGAAATATTATTCAATTAAGATATTAAAGGTGTCAATTCTGGAATACATAACAAAAACTAGTCATACATTTATATTCTTAGAAAATTTGAGTCGAATATTCAGTCTAGAAACCTGATGCCTGAAGAAAGATATATTTTCAAGAATATTATTTGCTGCATTTCTGTGTTCCTAAAATTTAGCTGTTCATCAAGGGAGAATTCAAAAAATAAAAATATGCCCAAAGTAATGCTTCACATTTGCAAAGAACTTAACTGAACTCTGAATGCCAGTATAGAAGAATGGTTCAAATATAAGGTTAAACAACATTTCAAACTTTACAGCATCCTTGAATTTCTGTAAAAAGAAGCTAATCAATATTCACTTATTCCTTTGCATTTGAGAAAAAGGATGACAGTTCCCCATTTTACTTTATATATAAAAAGGAACTTTTTCCTCTTATGATATGTATTTGTATTGTCCAGTATGGCTGAACTTCAGAACACATTTATAAATTTTTTTATGTCAGTCATGCTAAATGACTTTTGATAAACACTTATGGTTTTTCTAAATTTGTTTGATTGTTAAAGAAAAATTAGTGATTTTGAAGTATAAATTCACAATCTGAAGAGCACAGATCACTTCTAGGTATCATAGACAAAATTACAAATTTATGTGAATCCATAAAAATGAATTTTTCCTATATATAATGTGATTCACATGCCATACTTTCTATCTTTTGGTGTTTTCACCCATGTGATGAGTTTCAAAAGCATAACAATAGTAACTTCCTGTAAGTGACTACTTCAACTTCATCCTACTTACTCATTTTCAAATGATAAACAAATAACTTATCTGCCTACCAAATCTAAGAGTAGAATCTGGCATGTATGAATGAATTGTTATTTCTTCTTTTTCTCATATAAAAATCTATTCTTTCTACTTCTACATGTAACAAGTTTTGCAATAACAGTTATATTATAAATAATCAAATGTTACCTATACCGTAGAAGGGGCATATCAGATTTGAGGGGTGGGTATTAGCATCGAGAAACCACCTTTTGAGATATAGAATGCTTTCCCTGATTGGAACATGACATAATGTGTACATATTGAACCACCACTTGAAACATGATGTAATCTGTACATATTGAACACCATTTGGTACCTCATAAATCTGAACCATTTTTATATCAATTAAAAAATTAAGTATGTAAAAAAGAGAAAAATATATCTGCAGATATTAGATAATAAGTGTATTCTGATCTCATATTTTCTTTAGAGATATTTTGTCATGTTTCTCATTTAGTTCAAATATTCAGTGAGATGATGTTAACCGTTTTCTTTAATTTCCCAACAATAGTTTATGGGGTGCTGTGTATTTAGATGGTTTTGTTTTGTTTTTTGAAATCGGGTCTCTCTAGGTATCCTAGGCTTGCCTTGAACCCACTGATCCTCCTGCCTCAGCCTCCCAAGTGCTGGGATTACAGGCATGTGTCACCATGCCCGGTGGATACTATGTATTGGAAACATACTTCAAACTTTCTCCAGAAACTTCATGCTCTTTATAGGAGTTCTTCATTTGACCTTACTACGAAACTAAAATATATTACTCACAATTATGCACCAATACAAAAATGA